TACAATGCCATGTTTTGTAACATGGTACAATGCCATGTTATGTAACATGGTACTATGCCATGTTTTGTAACATAGTACAATGCCATGTTTTGGAGCATGGTACAATGTCATGTTATGTAACATGGTACAATGCCATGTTATGTAACAAGGTACAATGCCATGTTTTGTAACATGGTACAATGCCATGTTATGTAACAAGGTACAATGCCATGTTATGTAACAAGGTACAATGCCATGTTTTGTAACATGGTACAATGCCATGTTATGTAACATGGTACAATGCCATGTTTTGTAACATAGTACAATGCCATGTTTTGGAGCATGGTACAATGCCAAGTTTTGGAGCATGGTACAATGCCATGTTTTGGAGCATGGCACAATTGTTAAAGCATAATGGCAAACTTGGGCCTGCAAGTTTTAAGACTGACTCGGGATGGTTAGGTTAGGTAAGGTTTGTCAGGAAACAGGACAAGTGTCGCGTGACGCAGGTGCTAGTCATATGATGACCCGCAGAAGCATCTTCTTGATATTATCATGGGTTAGATTACCACCAGTACCAGTACTTCTTTACAGTTGAGCTAGTACTCGTCACATCAGTGTTGGTGTGCGTTGAAGATACTGGAGCTAGTACTCGTCACATCAGTGTTGGTGTGCGTTGAAGATACTGGAGCTAGTACTCGTCACAGCCGTGTTGGTGTGCGTTGAAGATGCTGGAGCTAGTACTCGTCACAGCAGCGTTGTTGTGCGTTGAAGATACTGGAGCTAGTACTCGTCACAGCAGTGTTGATGTGCGTTGAAGATGCTTGAGCTAGTACTCGTCACAGCCGTGTTGGTGTGCGTTGAAGATACTGGAGCTAGTACTCGTCAGCGCCGTGTTGGTGTGCGTTGAAGATGTTGGAGCTAGTACTCGTCACAGCCGTGTTGGTGTGCGTTGAAGATAATGGAGCTAGTACTCGTCACAGCCATGTTGGTGTGCGTTGAAGATAATGGAGCCAGTACTCGTCACAGCAATGCTTGTATTAGATTAGCCTGTAAAAACATGTATTTGAGTTACACTGGAACCCACTCAAGACTAAAGTGTAAATAATTATACCATGCTGGGTGAATTTTGTACAGCCGGCATGGTGGGTCGCCCGCTAGCTTCCTAGTTTCAGGACTGACTTGCCGCAGTTTATAAATGTGACTTGTTATTCGAGGCATTGCAGTTGTATTCTTAACTTTAATTTGTTAAATCATTTAGAAAATGTAAATCATTGTACTGTGTGATGTTTTGTGTAAAGGTATTGAGTTGAGGTGCGTCCCTCAGTAAATTGGATACGTCCATAATTTAACTTGTTGAGAAAGTGTCTTTATTTGTTTCGTCCGTAACCTAACATAAAACGTCCATAACTTAATTTGCTGACCCAGTAACCTCATTTGTTGAATCCACTAATCTTTTGTTACGTCCGTAAACTGATATGTCGCGTTGGAAAGCAAATTTGTTGTGTATATTAAATGCAATTTGCCTCTAAATTTAATTTGCTGTGTCCGTAAACTAATTTGAAAAAGTCATTGGAATAATAATAATACAGATAATGATGTGTGTGACCTACGTATCGTTGTTAATGCTGAAATTGAAATATATGGTGCCAGAATAATATTGATTTGCAAAATATATTAATCATTAATATATTTAGTTAAGATATCATTTTCGTGGTATTTGGCAGAGTGCTTCAGTATACCAGTTTACTGACACTGCTATTAATCAGTTATTTATAAATCTTCAATACATCTCAAATTCTCAAACGTTCCCTGGTGTTCCCAATGTCTCTCTATCTTTACACACTGCCGTCTCTCTTTCCATTATTTATTTAACCACTCTTCATTTTCAATCGTCTCTGTGCCATATTTTTCATCATCTTTCCCAGGCATGACAGTACTCACACACCAGTCGATTACAATACTCACACAACAGGCTATGAAAATACACACCAGGCCATGGCAATACTCACACAACAGGCCATGAAAATACACATCAGGCCATGGCAATACTCACACAACAGGCCATGAAAATACACACCAGGCCATGGCAATACTCACACAACAGGCCATGAAAATACACACCAGGCCATGGCAATACTCACACAACAGGCCATGAAAATACACATCAGGCCATGGCAATACTCACACAACAGGCCATGAAAATACAACCAGGTCATGGCAATACTCACACAAACAGGCCATGAAAATACCCCACCAGGCCATGGCATACTGACACAACAGGCCATGAAAATACCACACCAGGCCATGGCAATTCTCACACAACAGGCTATGAAAATACACACCAGGCCATGGCAATTTCTCACACAACAGGCCATGAAAATACACACCAGGCCATGGCAATATCACAACAGGCCATGAAAATACAACCAGGCCATGGCAATACTCACACAACAGGCCATGGCAATACTCACACAACAGGCCCTGAAAATTACACCAGGCCCTGGCAATATCACACAACAGGCCATGAAAATACACACCAGGCCAAGGCCCAAAACTCACACAAAAAGGCTATGAAAATCACACCAGCCATGGCAAAAACTCACCAGGCCATGAAAATACACCCCCAGGCCCTGGCAATACTCACACAACAGGCCATTTAAATACACACCAGGCCATGGCAATACTCACACACCAGGCCCTGAAAATACACACCAGACCCTGGCAATACTCACACAACAGGCCATGGAAAAATACACACCAGGCCATGGCAATACTCACACAACAGGCCATGAAAATACACACCAGGCCATGGCAATACTCACACAACAGGCCATGAAAATACACACCAGGCCATGGCAATACTCACACAACAGGCCATGAAAATACACACCAGGCCATGGCAATACTCACACAACAGGCCATGAAAATACACACCAGGCCATGGCAATACTCACACAACAGGCTATGAAAATACACACCAGGCCATGGCAATACTCACACAACAGGCTATGGCAAAAATACACATCAGGCCATGGCAATACTCAACAACAGGCTATGAAAATACACACCAGGGGCCCTGGCAATACACACAACAGGCATGAAAATACACACCAGGCCATGGCAATACTCACACAACAGGCCATGAAAATACACACCAGGCCATGGCAATACTCACACAACAGGCCATGGCAATACTCACACAACAGGCCATGAAAATACACACCAGGCCATGGCAATACTCACACAACAGGCCATGAAAATACACACCAGGCCATGGCAATACTCACACAACAGGCTATGAAAATACACACCAGCCCATGGCAATACTCACCAGGCCATGAAAATACACACCAGGCCATGGCAATACTCACACAACAGGCCATGAAAATACACACCAGGCCATGGCAATACTCACACACCAGGCCATGAAAATACACACCAGACCATGGCAATACTCACACAGGCCATGAAAATACACACCAGGCCATGGCAATACTCACACAACAGGCCATGAAAATACACACCAGGCCATGGCAATACTCACACAACAGGCCATGAAAATACACACCAGGCCATGGCAATACTCACACAACAGGCCATGAAAATACACACCAGGCCATAGCAATACTCACACAACAGGCCATGAAAATACACACCAGGCCATGGCAATACTCACACAACAGGCTATGAAAATACACACCAGGCCATGGCAATACTCACACAACAGGCTATGAAAATACACATCAGGCTATGAAAATACACATCAGGCCATGGCAATACTCACACAACAGGCTATGAAAATACACACCAGGCCATGGCAATACTCACACAACAGGCTATGAAAATACACATCAGGCCATGGCAATACTCACACAACAGGCTATGAAAATACACACCAGGCCATAGCAATACTCACACAACAGGCCATGAAAATACACATCAGGCCATGGCAATACTCACACACCAGGCCACAACAATGCTTACAAACCTGGCCATGACAATACTCACATACCAGGCTCTGACAAAAATTACGTCGTGGGGCATGACAAGAGGAAAGGAGATGCAGAGAGACATGACAAGAGGAAAAAAGATGTAGAGGGGCATGACAAGAGGAAAGAAGATGCAGAGAGACATGACAAGAGGAAAAAAGATGTAGAGGGGCATGACAAGAGGAAAGAAGATGCAGAGAGACATGACAAGAGGAAACAAGATGTAGAGGGGCATGACAAGAGGAAAAAAGATGTAGAGGGGCAAATTTACAAGAGGAAAGAAGATGCAGAGAGACATGACAAGAGGAAAAAGATTTTAGGGGGCATGACAAGAGGAAAGAAGATGCAGAGAGACATGACAAGAGGAAACAAGATGTAGAGGGGCATGACAAGAGGAAAGAAGCAGCATGTATCAGGTCATGACAACTGGTATGAGTCACCTCGTTGACTTACATATTTATATTAACTGTTGGAAAAAATAACCAATCACTGGCGGAGAGTAAAGCTTTCTTTCTCTCCAGTAGAGCTTTATCGTGTAGAGCTTTATCGTGTAGAGCTTTATCGTGTATAGATTTATCGTGTAGAGCTTTATCGTGTATAGATTTATCGTGTAGAGCTTTATCGTGTAGATCTTTATCGCGTATAGCTTTATCGTGTGTAGCTTTATCGTGTATAGCTTTATCGTGTAGAGCTTTATCGTGTAGAGCTTTATTGTGTAGAGCTTTATCAAATAGAGCTTATCAAATAGAACTTTATCAAGTAAACATTATCAGAACGGTTCACAGCAGGTTGCAGTGCGCCTTCCTGTCTTCACACTGTCTGCAGTGAACCATTATAACCCGACATAAGATTAGCCAAACGCAGATACAAAGTCTTAACAGCATCTTAACACTAATTACAAGGGTTTTACCAGTTTGTTAAGAAAAGATCGTGGGAAATGGCAGGTGACTTTAATTTAACTCTGAATAGCTTAAGAATAATCACCAAAACATTAATAATTTCTTTCCTCTTCCACACAAGACTGTACAAATGAGACGAATTAACATTCACAGAAGTCCTAACGAAAATATACAATGCACTGTTATAGACGCAGTTCCCAAACAAAAAAAAAAAATGAACATATATTTAATATATGTCTCAATGTTCGTAAGGATTTTAAAAGTGGAAATTAGCAAGTCATTGACTTGCCTCTTTGATAAATCACACACGAGATGTTTATGTCGTGCCGAATAGGTAAAAGTTGTTGTTCTTGCCGAATAGGGCAAGCGAAAATTTGTGTATGCAATAATTTCGCAAAAATTTATCTGAACCTAACGAAAAAAATATTTCATTTGTTTGTTAAATTATTGGAAACTTATCTAAAATATATTTAGTTGGGTTAGGCTAGATTAAATTGCGCTGGTTATAATAAGGTTAGGTAAGTTTTCTAAGGTTTTTTTGGTACAAAATTGTTAATTTTAACATTAGCATAAATGAAAAAAAATCTTTCAACGTATAAGAAAATTTTTTAGAAATTAATTATTTTTAAATGAACTCTTGTTAACTGATCAACTTGACCTATTCAGCACGACATATACACAGGGAGGTGTATATATCTCAGGTGTATTAGCTGAGAATATATACTTTTATCTTGTCCGCTGTGAGTAAGGTTACGTGGAGCTATAATTACCCTCGTGCCGTCCATGGTCTCTGAGCTTCATAAACCAACCTATAAATCACTGACAATGGTTTATGTGCGGAACTCTAGATTAGATCCAATAAGCAAAGAAACGAGGTGAGTACGGTGTTCCCTGGTGGTGACATGTGTTCCCTGATGGTGACATGTGATCCTTGGTGGTGACATATGTTCCTTGGTGGTGACTGGTGATGACATGTGTTCCTTGACACTTGTATTGTCGTGTGTGTAGCTTTAAATTGAACACGGTTCACAAACACTTGTGCTCGTACTTAGTTCCCACAAATTCTTCTGGTGGTAGTTATTAGCCTTGTCTGTGATGCTTATCAACATTGGAGGGTTCCACAAGACTAGTGGAGGTGACCACAAGCACTAGTAGAGGTAACCACAAACACTGGTGGAGGTGACCACAAATACTAGTGCAGATGACCACAAGCAATAGTAGAGTTGACCACAAACACTTTAAGAAGTATTTGTGAAAGTTACGACACATTACAATGATTCTGATTTCCACACTGCTGATAATACTGACGTCCACACGGCTGGTATTAAAGTTTGTCCACAAAATTAATTTGTAGGTACCCACAAATGTTGTTCATTTTCGAGAGAGCGGTTACAAGCAGTAACACAGACCAGTCGAAGGAACGGGTTATCTCGATTGTAGCTATGGTGTTGCGCTAGTAACCTTTGTGTTATGCTGGTAGCCCTCGTTCTGCACTAGCAATGGGTGGGTGGCTACCAGGAAGAGGGCAGCATCCCGCAGTAAGACAGAAGAGTAGACCTCCTGCTGCACTAGCAATGGGTGGGTGGCTACCAGGAAGAGGGCAGCATCCCGCAGTAAGACAGAAGAGTAGACCTCCTGCTGCACTAGCAATGGGTGGGTGGCTACCAGGAAGAGGGCAGCATCCCGCAGCAAGACAGAAGAGTAGACCTCCTGCTGCACTAGCAATGGGTGAGTGGCTACCAGGAAGAAGGCAGCATCCCGCAGCAAGACAGAAGAGTAGACCTCTTGCTGCACTAGCAATGGGTGGGTGGCTACCAAGAAGACGGCAGCATCCCGCAGCAAGACAGAGGAGTGGACCTCCTGCTGCACTACGTGAAGGTGGCCACAAAGGTGAGTGTAGCAGCCAAAAGTCCCAAGGACACATCGTACGGAGAGCAGCCTCCATGATGCATTGCCTCCGGATGTTCCCCTGAAAATTGAAGACAGCTGTATTATACCGCAATAGAGACACATACAGAGCTGGAGTTACACTCGAAGGTGGTATTCACAAAACATTATGATAATACAATATACAAGAGAACTGCATAGCATGACCTCTGATACCACAATGTTCTAGTTTAATTAAGATATAGTCTATTGTATCGAAAACTTTCCTAATAAGGATTAAGGAAACAGTGAATGTTAATTATTCTCAGAGATTCATAAAGTTTAGCTTCTGTAAAATTGCAGTATTTAATTAATATTATTATTATTAGTTACTTGGTTAATGGGGTTTAATTAAAGCTTATCGACTGCGACTACAATAAGGGCATGAAGACTCATTCAAGAATACTTTAATCTCTACAATAGAGATAAAAATAAATTCCCAGCATTTATACACTGAGAGAAATACACCTATAGGTGCATATATCTTGTGATTATTAATTAATATATTATTATTTATATTATCATTATTTTTATGATTATTGGTAGTAATAGCAATATCTCACTGAATTATTTTTCTGCGTTATTCTAAATTAACTTCTACCTAATATGCTATTTAAAATCATTGTAAACGTTTGAAATAAACTTATTTTGGTGCGAGTAATAAGATCAATAGTAGTATAATTTCTGACACAGTGGCAATAACCCTTACAATACATGGAGTCAGCGAAAGAATTTTGCAGACCAAGACAGGTGTAACTTTAAATGGATCTTATGAAATAGACTCTTTTTTGAAGCCTATACATGTACTTGTAGAAATAAAGATTATTTTATCATTATTGTTATTTACACATATGCTCTAATTTATCATCTAACTTCATATTTTATTGTCTGCTAGAGAAAAAATGTTTCAAGTGGCATTTTAAAAATTACTAGAGTTGTATACAACGGTTACCAAGATAAGGTAAGATTTGTTTGAACTTTTAACCCGGAAGATTATTGGTCCTTCAATTTTGTCTCCCAGGATGCGATCCACATCAGTCAACTAATACCCAGGTACCTGCTTACTGCAAGATGAACAGGGATAGCAGGGATACAGCTTACAAGATAAATGACTTCTCAAACATAGGATCTAATCTCGCCAGTAAAATCCCACGTACCAATGCCCGTGCCGGCGACTACCTAGATGGGAATTTCCCAAATTCCTTCTATCTTGTACCAACTGAGCCCACGGAAGTCACTGCGATCATAAAGTCACTTAAAAATAACTAGGGGAATCTGTCTCACGTCCCACCATTATTGTACAAGCATGAGGCCCATGTCCTTTCGCATGCTATTACATTACTTTTTAACAAGTCACTAGAAACTAGCACTTTCCCGACACTACTCAAGACTGCAAGGGTAACACCAATACATAAAGGTGGTGACCCTACAGATGTAAACAACTATAGGCCAATATCAAACTTACCATTGCTATCCAAAATATTCGAGAAACTCGTGCACAGGAGACTGTATTCATTTATAACGGCACAAAACATACTCAACCCTTGCCAATTTGGATTCAGGAAAAATAAAAGCACTAATGATGCAATTATAAAAATGCTAGACCTGCTTTACACAGAATTGGAACATAAGGAATATCCGCTAGGATTTTTTATTGACCTAAGAAAAGCGTTTGACACAGTTGTCCACGGCATCCTACTCCACAAACTTGACCACTATGGTATAAGAGGCCATGCGCTTGCATATTTCAAATCCTACCTTTCTAGTAGGTATCAGTATGTCACCATTAAAGACACAGCCTCATCAATACGGCCACTTGATACTGGAGTTGCGCAGGGAAGTGTCTTTGGACACCTGCTCTTCCTCATTTACATCAATGATCTTCCAAACATATCCCAACACCTGAAACCCATTCTCTTTGCTGACGACACGACTTATGTCATCTCCCACCCTAATCTTGCCACCCTCAACACCATTGTTAACGAGAAGCTGCTCAAAATATCGACTTGGATGACAGCCAATAAACTTACACTTAACACTGACAAATCCTACTATATTATGTTTGGTAGCAGAGCAAGTGTTGCGCAACTTAACATTAAGATCGACAACACTCTAATTGCCAGACATAATGAGGGCAAATTCCTTGGCTTATTCCTCGACAACAACCTAAATTTCAGCACCCATATCCAACACATAACAAAAAAAAGTATCCAAAACTGTGGGGATCCTCTCCAAGATACGATACTACGTGCCGCAAACTGCCCTTCTCACATTATACCTGTGAAGGCTTACTCAGCCCTGTAACAACTTCAGACAGTATTAGCAAGGCTGGCTCCTCCTCAGGAAAATTAATGAATAGAAAAAGAACAAAAACTGACAAACAAACACTTTATTGTTTAGAAAATATAAAATATAAAACACTTAAATATGAAATATTGATCCTACCTTAAAGAAAATGAAAAATGAAAAATATAAATGATATCTGAATTCAACGCTAAGATATATATATATATATATATATATATTATATATATATATATATATATATATAAAAACTTGGGTGTCTGGTGTTGGTGACACGGCGTGTTGTTGAAATCGTAGCCGTTGCCGATGATGGGGGGGGGGGGGTCGCAGGTGTTGGTGACAACCCACCGGCTCGTTCTTCAAAGATTTTATGGCCGTCAATAATCCGTCCAGATGACAGGAAAGCAGGTTTTCTCCACTGCAATGATGAGGGGTTACGTCCTGCAACTTCATACAGGTGCACGTTAGTCCGTCTCCTTCAATTCTACTCATTGATTGGCAGGTGACCCTCTCTGTCATTTCAAGCTGTAAAGAGAGACAGATTACCCACTGCTTAAGAAATCACTCTCCATGATAAGTACAATACCTAAAAGATGTGGTGATTATTAAAACATTTAACCTATCAAGACTGAAAGGACTAAGTTAAATATTGGTCAAAAGTGAAGCTTTCAACCAATAAGTCCACTAGAATATGAGCAGGCATGTACTTACAGTAGTGTTGGGAGCTGTGAGTCGAGTGATTTACTGTTTGACCGGAGCCCCACACGTCACCTTTCGGGGGGGGGGGGAGAAGGGAGGGGAAGGGATAGCCGGAGCTAGACTGACCCTACCTTAACAAGCAGCCGGCAATCAAATTATCACTTTCGGGGAGGGGGAAAAGGGGGGGGGGAATAACGGGAGCTGGCTTTACCCTACCTTAACAGGTAGCCGGCAATGAAACTATTGTTACTATATGCTCCCTCGCTACTCCTATCTATTGAACTTTTCCCTCACAATACCATTCACTTATATATCCATACCTCACCTATGCTATTTGTGCTTGGGGTTCAACTGCAGCAACACACCTAAAGCCAATAATAACCCAACAAAAAGCCGCAGTAAGAATAATCACTAAATCCCATCCCTGGCAACCCCCCCCCCCCACTCTTCATAGATCTAAACTTACTCCCTGTTCAGAACGTTCACACTTACTACTGTGCAATCTGTATCTACAGGACCTTAAATTCCAGTATTAACCTTGACCTAAAACGCTTTCTTGATAGTTGTGACAGGATCCACAGGCATAACACCAGACACAAACATCTCTATGACATTCCCCGTGTCCGACTAAACCTTTACAAAAATTCAATGTTTTTCAAAGGACCTAAAATCTGGAACACCCTACCTGAAAACTCTAGAACTGCAGACACACTCATCACTTTCAAAACTACAGTTAGAAAAAAAAAACCATACCACGGGCGGGAATGAACCCGCGGTCAGAGAGTCTCAAAACTCCAGACCGTCGCGTTAGCCACTGGACCAGCTAGCCACAATAAGATTCGTCCTACTAGGTATATTTCTACACCATAGGAAGGTTAGCATAGGCACCACTGTGACCACAAATGCAAGATTTTACAGACGAATCTCCAGCTAGCGTGGCCGTGACGAACTCTAGCTCAAGTCCCCTCACTGCCGTCAACATGAATCACGGTCTGGAGTTTTGAGACACTCTGACCGCGGGTTAAATCCCGCCCGTGGTATGGTTTGTTTGCAATCGTGTCATTTCGATTTCGTGAGTACAGTTAGAAAACATCTTATCTCCCTGATACACCCCGACAACTAACTACATGATAACCACCTGGTGGTTCACAATTACACTCACTCACCCACTGACTATAAACACAGAAATACTAATCTTAATCTTAAAATAATGAATCCTAACTAGTCATAAGTTTGCCTATGATACTCCAATATAGACACTTTGTATTGTGCTAAAACAAAAGCATTCACATTGCTAAACTCACAAATTATAATGTAGTCACCTAGCCTTAATACCATAATCTGTAAGGATTTTATGTTAAGAATTAATCTAAGTCTGCCCTAAATGCCTAGTCATGCTAGGTGTCCTAGTGGCCCCCTCTGTAATTAGTATTTTATAACATGTAAACCACACAATATCCAAATCCTGTAAATCCCACATTGTAACCCTTAAAGAGAACAATTTTATTTGATTTGATATAAGAAAACATGCCCAACATTTTACCCATGCCGAGGATCGATCCCGGTCCCTTAGTATGCGAGCTAAGGACTCTACCATCCAAGTACCCAAGAGAGATTTATTGGGACGAATGTGTAAAGTATTCACGATATTAAAATATATCATGGAGTATTTTATTATCATTCAATATTAAGTGAGGTACTTTAATAGTAGGTAAGGGTCGTCAGGAAACAGGACGAATGTTTCCTGACGCGGGTCTTAGATGATGACCCGCCGTTGGAGATTTTGGTCATCTGACAGAGGCCTTCCGCTGGCTTGCCGGTCCACCCCTTTAAAAATTTTGGTTTTAACTATCTGTTTTGAAGGTTGTGACTGAGCCAGTGTTGTGTACATCACTGTGACTTACTTTCTGTGGGTAGACAGTCTAAACTGCTAGGTGGCCTCTTAATGTGGAAATATTATATTTTTTCTCTCTCCCCCTCTCACTCTCTTATTAGACTCATTTTCTTTCACTTTCACATTCATGCTCTCTTACTCTCACT